GAGAAGGGAAATGGTGAAGCTCTTGATGAAGTTACTACCACTGATGTGACTGTTATCGACGATAGGACATTTCCTGATGAAGCAGATGAACTCCATATGAAGCAGAAGCCAACTAGATGGAGACCAGTATGGAAGAAGATACGTCCCGTAAAATTAAGAGACTTTGTTGAATTGTAATTTTGTGTTTGTAATTCAGTACATTTTAATTAAGTTATTGTCAATTGTTATTGGTTTAATGTAAGTGGCTATTGTTCAGGACGAACAATACTAAGGAAGGGGCAGTGTTGCGTCAGCGAGGTCACGTGACTAGTATCACGCCATTTCTTTCTCGAACCTTCGTGAATTGTCGGGAGATTACTAGATTGGGGTTAGTCTGGCATATATAAGATGGTCACAATGTGACGGGAGAATGTGTGTAGGTAATGAGTAATTGAACTGCAGTCAGAAAGTGTGTAATGGAGTATTGTCGAGCACGAGCACGTGAGACGTTCTAGCGTTTGTTATAGAGCGACTGTTGAAATTAAGTGTATCGATAAAGTTGTATTCGGGAAGAATAAACCAGTTTTATTTAAGAAAGGACTTGTGTCGCTAAAGTTTCGTCGGAGCGAATTTACAGAAAATTAACTAGCGACTGGAGGTGTAACACAAACAACTTGCAGCATCCTTGGAACACAGCTGATTCGAAGTTACGGCCTTGATCTGAATGCAGTTCATATGGCATAAGATAACTTCATCAAATCAGCAGACGTTTTCAAGTTTGAACGCATTTGATGGTGAATATCATCCATCCTTTCCGATAACACTTTCACAAACTCTGACACATTCTCAGGCAACTCTTCATAAGGTGGGCATCCTGATCCACTGGCAACCGAAGTTCACGACCAAACATCAACTTTGCTGGAGTGTATCCAGTGGTTTCATGCTCTGCTGTCCTATAGGCCATCAACAGTGGAGGAAGTAAGACATCCCAGTCATCTTGGCGGCTATTACAAAACTTTGCCAATTCCTGTCCCAGTGTCCAGTTGTACTTTTCTACCATCCCATCGGACTGTGGATGAAGTGGCATTGTCCTGGTCTTTCGGATGCCAAAC